GAAGAAGGTGTCCAAAAAAATTCAGACGATTTTTTCAAGGAAAATTTCCGATTGAATAGAAGTGCGTTTAACATTTTAATTGAACGGCTTCCAAATCTCTGGAAAAAATACATTCCTTTTCGTCTCTCAATTCCTTTAGAGAGGCGAGAAGCAAATCGCATTGTGTGCACTTGGATCCTCTGCGGAATACCGAACAATATTCGAATTTTTCCGTGAGGTTATACCGAACTTGCAGGCGATTACTTACCAGCTGACTTTCTGACACAGAAGAAGATCATGAAAACAGTAAAGGGATTTAAAGGCATTTTTTTTACCCAATGCCTTGGAGCTATGGGTAGGGCAAGAATATTTGAAAGATATAAGAATTGGTAATCTGTAAAGCATTTAAATTAAGATGGATGTCACTCCGATTTCCGACCGAGATCTAAGGATGTAGAGGATTAACGAAACTACAAGGGGTGGTACTCAACCGTAGACTTTCGGTATGAAGTTTCTGGTTCTGTTTAAAAATATATTTATTTAATAATTCATATGCAAACAGTTACAGATTCTCCTATATAAGTTTAGGAAGCCCCGGACGGGGCCATAATAATTTTTGGGAAGTCAAACCTTAACAAGAAATTGATGCAATCTGCATTACAAGGAGTGTAAGTCCCAATATTAGTTTTAAACAACCAGCATTTTAATTTTTTAAAAATGTGATAAAACCTGTTTCTGTGGAAGCAATTCCTAAGAAGAGAGTTTTCAACTACCACCTTTGTAGGGTCAGGAGGGTGGTAGAGAACGCTTTTGACCACATTAAGGTTCGATTTCGAAGGATCGGAAAAGGTTTGGATAACGACATCAGAAACACTTCGCAAATAATTGCCTTTTGCTGCATCCTTCACAATTTTAGCATTGCCCACAACTGCGGGTTAAAGACATCTGGCAGGAAGTAGCACACATTCAAATAGGGAATGGAATGGAAATTTTATAAATGGAAACTCTCGATAAAAACATTTAACCAGTTTATTCATTATTTATGTATTTTTTGCTGCCGTTCTAAATACTTAAATATTTTATTTTAAAATTTTTAGAATCGTTGGCCAATGTCTTCATAACTTTTAGTTTGTCGGTCGGTCCCATTCATCCGACGCATTTCCTTTGGATGACCCGATTGCTCCATTACAGAATGATTGGTAAATGAAGTAGAATGGCTATCTATCGATTCATCTCCAGTTTTAGTTTCCATATTTTCATAAATTTTAATAACTTATGCTGTCCACAACGCTACCATCCAATTCGTTGAACGACTGCAGGATGTATGACATACTATCGAAGTGCTCCCAGTTTTGGTCTATTATTATCTAAATTTACACCATCGATATAGGCTATCAGATATTATGTATCAAGAAAAGGTAGCGTTGTATTTTTCGGCTCCTTTTTTGCTGTTTATGATGAAAGAATTCACCCGCGTTCATCACAACTATCGATATAAATCCATCAGTGATCAGTGATCATGTTTTTCTGGTGAATACGCCTAATGACTACGTTTTTTTGTTTTTGACTGGATAGTAATGATAGACCCACAATATGCAAACGAAAGCTCAAAAATAAAAAATCATCTTATGATATACCTGAAAATGAGGAAAACTCAACTTAAACTTACTCATCACTAGTTTCCTGTGCCCAAAACTTGATAGACTAGAAAATCAACCCCAGTGTAAACGTTGCTTTAGAAAATTGTTTCTATCGATAGTTAAGCAGTCGCGAACGGGCAAAGCTTACGACAGTTTTCTGCCTTTTTACTGTGTTTTGCTTTATTATTGTAGAAAAAATGTGAGGTACTTTTTGGCAAGTTAAGAGGATGGTAGTTGCGGGTTGGTCTAAAAGGCACTTTAAAAGTTAAGCGGCTTACCAATTCTAAGGAGTCAATATCACCATACATTTCTCTTAAGATTTCGCGATCCATCAAAGAATTTTTTTCTCACGATAATTCGTGACGTCTGTAAAAAGGAAATTGAAGGTGCTCAGATGTCTTATAAATCATAGAGTTCACTTTACAAATTCCAAGTGTTGGGAGTGACCTGAAAACATTTTTTCAACTCGGATCTCGTTTTAAGTACTTGGCTTACTCGACTTGAATTTTTTTTTTTTCAAGTTGAAGTGAGTGATCATTTTAAGTAAACTTTAAGTTCTAACTTAAAAGTTTACTCTTGCAGGACTTTAGTTCTTAGCTAAATTTTCTAATAATGAGGCAAAGTGAGAGAGGTTCTGAGTTCACATCGAATTGTATAGATTTGTTTTTTAGTTTTTCGAGCATAATGCTTATTTATGCAGCTGTTTAGTTAGAATGTGCGTGGACGCGTGGTTAAGGCTTACATCTAGAGCGCGTATGGTCCCATATTCAATTCTCAGTCGAGGCAGTCGAGATTCTCATAAAAGTATTTCGTAAGTAAAATGATTTCATTTAACACGTAAAATAATAATATAACAATTAATTATGAGTCAACTAACGCTCGTTTTTAAATTACAAATTACATACATAGATATGTAAAACAAACAACACAGTTGTAAGAAAATGTTTGTTATATTTTTGGCAGGTTTGTTTTAGTGGATTCTCATTTTGACAAAAAGATACTTCTTAAAAATTTTTATTCAAACTGAGAAAATTGAACTCAAACTGAGAATTTTTGGTCTTGAATTTTTTGGAGTACGAATAGTCTCAAATTGAGTGCAATAAACTTGATTAATTTTTACTGTGCACCTGCTGCAGCTATTACCGCCAGCGCAGCGACCGAACTTTGGGCGAGCAGCGGCAGAGGCGCGGCAGAGCGACGGCAGATAACTTCAAAACCTTACAACTTCTCAAATATTAGCACGATTTTAAAAATTGTTGTTGTCGACCGATAGATATGACCGAAACACACACACATTGAACCCCTAGACCTAACATGTCTCACAGTGACAGTAGATACTTTCACAATTTTTGGGCGGTTCATTGGGCGCGGCTCCGTTTTAAAATAAACTTGCTCTGCAAGTTTTTTCTAGTTTTTATAGTTTCTAATGATTCAAACTCTTAAAAATTAAAAAAAAAAGAACCATTTCTTCTTCATAGAAAAACTTATAAAAAAATCGACATTACCCCACTGCGGGGGTATAAAAATCGAGAAAAAATCGACATGCTTCTTCTTGTTCAACCTTACCAAATTGATTTTAAATGGCGAGTTTCCTTAGAATCAAAAATAAAATTTCTTGATTCCATCGCGTTTTAAATCACGGGCGATTTTCGAAAATTCATTGCAATTTTTATTTCAGTGTTGACTTAACAAATTTCATTAAAATAAAATTTTTCATATTTAAGAAATACAAAATATTTTCTGAATTCTTGAAAAGTTATCTAAATGGAATATTCTGGTCTAGAAATTTTGAAGTTTATACGTTTGGCTTAGATCCTTAAAAGATTTTTCTTCTACTGAACCGATTCCTTTGAAATTTGGTATACAAGTATATCTATTATATACAACTCTCTATTTTTATTATATTTTTGATTATAAGTATTTTTAAAATATTCAAAAAGTTGGAAAGAATTGGTTAAAAAACATTTTTTGCTTTCAAGTCAAATAGTTTTGTTATTTAAAATTTTTTTTTTTGAAAGTGGTCAACCCGATAACGTCATCTTTTCCAATGAAGAATTAGTTTGATTTCTACAAGGACGCAGCGATTTTATTTCAAGACCACACTCCCCAGGCCTGTATCTCGGCGAATATTCAGTTTTTTTTTTTTCTTTATTATTCTTTAAATTTTAATAAAAACCTATAAAAAACCCTATATATTAAAAATGTTTTCTTTTTTTATCATACTTGAGAATATGCCTAAAATTCAGGCTTATAGACCAGAATACTCCTTGTGTTGCAGAAATCCCTTGTGTTGACTTGAATATAAGGTGTTATTTTTAAACTACCTCTTTCCAAATCGTATTTTGTTAAAAAAAAAATTCATAGCTCAATTTAAGATTTAGAAAAATGCCCTTCAAATTAGAAAGGAATTTTCTAGCCCAAGGTGTAATGTGTCAGAAGTATCAAGGACGATGGTATTTTAAGTCTGCTGCTATATTACTGCTTCGTCTTGTGCCCAACAGCTAGAACGTGCAAAGTGAAATCGCGACAGAAGCCTAAGCAGTGACCGACCAGTCGGCAGCGGCAGAGACCTGACCCCTGAGAGCGTTTGGAACTGCTCAAACATTTTCGAAATCGTATTTAAAGGTGAAGGTGCAACAGTTGCTGCCATATCTGGTGTCTGCGGCCCACAGGGCACAGTTAAAGGGCTTAACGGGGCAGGCTAATTAATGGAAAATATGGGTTAGGCTTGTGCACACTCGTGTGGATGGCGCATGCTTAAAGACGGTAACAAAAGCTGGCCCACACTTGGGCTTAGAACGCCCTAAGTCCTACGCCGCAATGCACTCAAAGAAAATTCGAGCGTAACGAGCGTAACCGAATTTCTTAGTAAGGAAGACGGATAATTTTTTGAGTTTACATGAAAGGAAAATATTTAGGATTGGCAAGCAGATCTCCCCTTTAAAATCATACCTAATTTACATTAATAAGACAAGTCCTGACTATAAGATTACCGTTACTTACTGATTTGTTACAACAAAATTGAAAATCATCTTATATGTACCAGAAGAAATAAAATATTAGTTTCCCCTTTGTTTTGATTTCGCAGGCTGACGGTTTGCCATACTTTTTTCAATTTAATACAAATTCATAGTATTATAAATCATATAATTTGTAATCTTCAACTTTAAAGTTTTAAGTTTGAGTCCTGGCAAAAGAACATCTGGCAGTCGGTTGGGTTAGTAGCATAACCACTTCCCGAGAATGAAAACTCTATTTAAATCGCGCGCTTTACATTTTCGAGTTGGCAGCACTGAACGTCAGGAGCTGTTCAACACTGCACAGCAGACACTGCCAGCATTGTAGACTGACAAAAGCTGAGCAAAATACCAGAAACTACTTGTTGAGCGTCAGAAAGAGCCAGCACATCGCTCTCTGTTTTGCTGTTCCACGCACAAGCACTCCGCGGAATCACACACGTCACCAGCGCCATTAAGGAATTAATAACAAATAATTAAAATATATTAGGATGCGCCAGCTGAAGGGAAAGGTGAAGGAGACGCGCAAGCAGAAGAAGGAGCGCAAGTTGGACAACCTGGAGACCCAGGCCAAAATCCGGACCGTGGTGCTGCCGGCGGTGGGCGTTCTAGCGGTCTTCCTGATACTGTTCGTCTACCTGAAAACCCGTCCGGCGGTCCTGTCCTAGTTTAATGTAGTCTAAGTCATAACCTTTAATGAAGAGTGCAATAGATTCGTTTTTTACACACATGTTTTAAGAGTAAAATTAAATCTCAATTCGTCCGTCAAAGCTGTTTTTTGATTTGCCTTCGAAGTGCGATAACATGAACCACCAACCGACAAAACATAACAGTTTGTATATATGTAGAAACAGCGTTAGCCTTTTAAGGAAGGTTAGTGTCTGAAAAATGAATGTTGGGGAAGTTTGATTCTTTGAGTTTTACTGTATTTGGTCTCAGATGCTGGCAGTGTTGGAAAACAACAAAAGCGATGGCGGCAAACTTAAAATGATACAATAAAAATAAAAACCCTGGCAAAGGTGGCTAAATTAATGTTTTGGTAAAGATAGTGGCCACGTCGTTGATCGCTTAACATTTTCGCTTGTCCTCGCGCTGCCTCTATTTTTTGTCCGTTTCGAAGTGATCACTGACGCGGACGGTAATCACAGCTTTTGAAGTATATAAACACAGTTAAAGTTCTGTGCTTAAAGGCAGTTAACTGCAGAAGCGCTATCAGTGTCAACCCGATTATCTAATCACAGTGAGCCAGTCAGCTGCTGTCACACTCTTCCTCTCACAGTACAGCTGAAGCAGCGCGCTCTCTCTCGCGCCGTTTTGACGTTTCTTTTGCACTTTCTCACTTTTGGTTAAACTCTCACACTGGCGGGTGCGGGCGACAAAGGCGCTTTTAACTACTCGACAATGCTGAAGTTTTTGGTAAGTTCCCCGCAAACCAAGTTTCCTTGATTCAGCTTACACCTGTGAGCTTAAATAACTCCCCAACATATGTATTCATATTAATTATTCTGTAAAATATGCAAAGTCAATTGTTGTTGGTCTGCTTTTTACGGCGATGACGCGCCGCGGCACAGTGGTCGAAATGGGTTATGTAGTGGAAACAATTTTATTTTTTTTTACAAAATCATTGAATTAAAAGGAAACATTTTCTATATTGTCAGACAAAGCTAAAAAGTTATCATTTCCCAAAAGGTGGCAAAAATCCTTACTTCACGAGACCCAAAGAAACAGATTTATTAAGTATTATTTGCGATATACCTTCTTATATAATTAATCTCCTTTATAGAAAGTATTTTAAATGTATTTAATTGACTCCAACTTAGCTTAACAATGTAAGTGAAAAAACACAAAATGCACTTTTTTTATTCATGCAGTGCAAACTATGTTCAAAAATATGTTTCTTACCTGTTACCATTTTAGCAAACCATACCAGCATCAACATAAATGATTACTTTCCTTACATAAACAAAACTCATTCATAAAATTTAAATTGTTCAAATTATTCTCTTAAATTAATTTAATTATGCCACCTTAAACGAGCGGAATGCTCTTTATTTAGATTTTAGTTTTAACTATACGTTAGCTTTAAATAAATAAATAAAGATGCAATTAGCTTATGGGTAATTCAGCACGGATTTCATAATTAACATTTTTGCCCGCTTTTGTCTGGTCTTTGCCCATTGTGAGAGCTGACTGACCAGAGAAACTCGCTAACAAAACTGTTCGTTCGGATGTGCTGATGTAGGATTCAAGGTTATATAAGGGCCACCAACTCTAATATCAACCAAAGAAAACAATCAGCTTGTCCTTGGGAACTATGTCGACTTCCACTCGAACAGCTCAGGAATACAAACCCAGATTCTTTAAAAAGCCGCACGAACCTCTCAAAATTGATCGTTAATATTAAACTTGAAACCGAAATGAAACTGCTCGGACTTGGGGTACAAGTGATTAGGCTCAAGAGTGGCGGGCAAAGCCGCTCCACAAGTACCCGCTGCCCACCGGAAATCCAGGAGCCACTACCGTGCTGCCCCAAGAAACGTTTTTGGACCTTCAAGAGAGTGCTCGGCTTCTCCACGGTCAGCATGCGATGTCCACTTCCGGAGCTGGCGACTCCACAGCCTCTCTTCGAACCACTATAATGGAGACCTTACTGTACCACCTGCTTTTACATTTATCTTTCTTTCTTTATTTCTTTCAGTTGACCTTTGGCGCCGGGGTTTATACTGGCATCTATGTTTCGCAAAACTATGAGGTAAGCACTCTGCTCTATATTTTAAACTGAATCTTCTAACCCTTCTATGTCTGTTAAGGTTCCTCGAGTAGATGATCCCCAAAAATTGGTTCAGCGTCTCAACGAAAAAGTGAAGGAACTCGTGGACCAAAGCAAGAACAAGTAATGGCCTTGGTAGTTTTGTACATGGGAACCCCAACCTAACCGTCACTAAATTTGAATATATCCGTTGATCGCCCTTTTGTAAATCTGTTTGTATAAAAGTTCATCACCAAATCAATTTAACCTGTAATTTTTTTGCGTTTTATTGTAGATGCATTATTGCACTAAGAATTCCAAACGCAGAAATTGAAACTTACTTTTCCCAAAGGGACAAATCTCATTTTTAAATGGACAACTAAAGCATATCGATGCAAGAAATATTTAAAGTATTGAAAATAATCAAAAGTGGCTACAACTTATAATTTAAGCTAGCTAGCTTTGGAAGCAAACGTCATTTAAATGTATCCCTGAAGAATGAAGACTTTTTTCGACAGTATCCTAAAATTGTGCTAGAATACGTTTAAAACTAAAAGCAAATGCTACATTTCTTTTCACAGATCGGCCGGCGAGAAATTAGTAGACGACATTAAAAGGGAGGCCAAGAAGACACTGGACGACTGACTGCTGCACTAAGTCCACGTTTTTAGTTTAAACAAATTTATCTTTGATCAAATAAAGCGATGTTACATGTATAAAACTAGACGAAAGAGACTCCTCCGCCGTAATATTCCAGGCGCGTTTGGGGCTGCACAAAGGCCAACCAGTCAGAGGCGTGGGTGGGCAGCAGTCCCATGCTGTGGCACTTGTAGAGGGCCAGAGCCACGTTGGCCAAGTTGCCCAGGAAGTAGACAATACGCTGACCAGTTCCCTGCGCGCCCTCGGCCATCTTCGAGGTCACCTGTGTGGTAAAGATGGCCTTGATGGGTCGAATCAGCATCATGCCGACCATCATGATGGGGAAAATGGAGATCGAGTTGCCGGACATGTACATGATGAAGAGGTTCATGGGTATCTGCGGGAAATCCAAAGGTTAGCCGTGCGACTTAATGGGGGTAGTACTCACGTTCTTCAGAGGTCCCAGGGCGAGGTCCCAGGATTTCTTAATAACCAGACGCTGGTCTCGAACCACCTCACTTTGGTTTACCAGGGCAGAAGGATTGTAGCCCAGCGGCGAGGGAATATCAGCATTTTTGCTGCAGAGGCAAGCATTAGTGGGGTGAAAAGATGGCCGAATTTGCAAGACATCCAATATTACCTCACGTTAAAGTCCAGCGCCCACTTGAACTTCTTCGAATTTTGCTTGGTGGACATGCTGCGTATTTATTTTATTTAATATCTCTTAATTATGGAATTAAATGAAAATTTTCAGTCTTAACACCAATTGGTCAACTAGTGTTGGCAAACGTTGAATTCCGGACAGTGCTGACAAATTTCGATAGGCCATTGTCGTGAACTGGCGTTTTGTTATCGATAGACGCGGACTTTTTTAAAACTCGTTGAAAAAATCTTTAGCATAGCAGGTGTTTTCATTTATATTTAAATTTTATTTCGAATTACCTTTTAAGTAGTACTTTCCTTTTTAATATGGTCTTATGTATATGCGTGAGTTTCTATGGATTTTGCATGGCCAAGCGACAAGAAACGAAAGAGTTAAAAATTAAAATGGTTTTTGTTGTATTTTTAAAGAGCAATTACAATTACAGTTTTTTCTCATTATTATTACTTTTATATTTATAAAATTAATAAGAAATATATATTGATGAGGGGGAGGGAGAGGACAAAAATAACTTAAAAAAGACATTTTTACCATATACTATAGTTTTCCTTTCTCTTGTGATTGGTTGGGGTTCTCTTTTACTCGTTTTTTGCTTTTAAACATCCAATAATTATGTATAAGAATTTAAATTAAATTATAGCGTTTTTTATATGCTGCTTGAAAGGTTATGTTTTTGCAATTCAATAAACAATTCAGTTTCTTGTTTGGAAATACGGCCAGGTGGAGCCCATTAGATTATGCGAAGATCTGCTGCTCTTGTTGTTGGTGTTTTTGCCGCTGCTGTTTTTTGTGATAATTCCTTCTGATGTCGATTTCCACCGGTTACCTTCTGTTTGATGTTCTTGAGCCGCTTGTGGTTTTTGTTGCTGGTTTACTGCTTCGGCTTGTTTGAAATCAGAGTTAGTTTTATTCATATTGTTGCTTTAGTTGTAGTATGTTTAATTAGCGATTAGCGTTCTTCAATTGGTTAGACAGCCAGTCGAGTCCCTCGTAGAGCCCATCGCCACTGGTTGCACACGTCGCCTGGATGTACCAGTTGCGATTTCTGAGTGAGTGCAAGCCGAGCTTGTCGGTGATTTCGGCCGCGTTCATTGCATTTGGCAGATCCTACAATTATTTTATAGAAAAGTGATGTGCATTAGAAGTATTACAACTTAAGGGCAACTCCAATTGCGAAATTAAACCAAGAGCAAATGCCAATAAAGGCCATACTTATATACTTATGACGGAACGTACCTGTTTGTTGGCGAATATTAGTAAAACAGCATCCCTCAGCTCGTCCTCCGCTAGCATGCGCATCAACTCCTCTCTCGCCTCCCCGATACGCTCTCTGTCGTTGCTGTCTACGACGAAGATAAGACCCTGAAAGAAACCAGATGCCAAAATTACTCAAATGGCGGTCCTCGGGTCGACAAACTCTAGGATCTCTAATAAAACATCAGTCCCGTCTTGAAACAAAATAAACTTTGAATAATCACAGCATGATTCATTACAAGTTGTTAACATCATCTAGGATCGCCTGGAATCTGGGTTTCGGTTGAAATCACACTTACTTGTGTATTCTGGAAGTAGTGCCTCCACAGGGGACGAATTTTATCTTGGCCGCCCACATCCCACACCGTAAAGCTAATATTCTTGTATTCTACAGTCTCCACATTGAAACCTAGGAACAAAAATAGGAAAATATTAGACACGGAAAATAGGCATTTAAAAGGGGCCCCAGAAACTCACCAATGGTAGGTATCGTTGTAACAATTTCGCCTAGTTTGAGTTTGTACAGAATTGTGGTTTTACCAGCGGCATCCAAACCGACCATCAATATTCTCATTTCCTTTTTGCCGAAGAGGCCTTTAAACAGGTTCGCGAACACATTTCCCATGACTGCTGTTTGTCTTTCTGATGCTCGGAATTAGTCGTAGGAAGTTGGGTCTCTGGTTGGTCTTCTCGCTGCTTGCTGGCTGGAATTATGACAAGTTCAAATCCGAGTTGCAATACCGATCAGAATATGCAAACTGCGGACTTGTGTGCTTGAACTGGAGGAATCTGCAAAGAGACCGATCGAACCGAGAATTATTTTCGGAAATTATTTATGGCAAGCCAGAAGATTTCGGGCCGGCTTGCACGACGGTGGAAGCAATGGTTTTGTGATGTTGTGTGGGGCTTTGTTTTACCCGATCGCTCTGACGTGTTGAGTCATAATAATAAACCGGAAGAGGCTAAGCGAATCGCTAACGAAATTTCGCTTCGTTTTTTTTAAATAAAGCTGTTTGTTTTTTTTGGAAGTGTGTCAGTCCCACGAAAGTTGTTTATATAATTAATTGCTCACTTATTAATAACGCTAAAATAAGGATGTATAGGAACACAGTTGTGTGGCTCTCTAGCGGTTGCCGCTGATAAGATATCGATTTGTAGTAGAGAACGATGACGGTGCTCTGTGGCCTCCCTCCCAACTTCCGACACCACTTTCACACTTTACCCAGCGTTTTCAAGAAACGTGCGGTTTGAAAAGTGTGTAAATGATAAGGCCTTTGGCCAGGTAATGTGCAGTTTTAAGCAAAGTTTGTGGGGCGGAGGGGGTGATTGCCAAACTCTTCGGTGAGTCATCGCTGCCATCTAGCAGCCTGGAATACGCAAACCAATTATTGCTTTAATCGTGGAACCCAGGATGTATGCCCGTTCAGCCCCCGCACACACAAAAATCGAAGCGTTGCCAACGAAACATACGGTAATATTTACAACTTTGAAGTAGCTTTAAAACGCATCTACAAGTCAACTAAAATCTCTAGAAGTTTTGGTGCCAGCCCCGATAATGCGCAAATAAAAACGCCCTACGCTCTGGAGAAGATGCTAATGCCAGCCAGCTGACGATAGTTGGGCTGGAAGAAACCGAAATCGAAAACTACACGTAGCAGCTTTTAATTTTAAGCTGTGGGAAGCGGGGCGAACCCACTAACACACCGACACTCAGCTCTCACACACACACACGCAGGAGCCAGGGTTGCCAACTGCGCCAAGCCCTGCCCGATGCCTCTTATTCAAGCTCCAAACGGAGCACAAGTCGACGACGTCACACTGCGATGATGACCACTCTACAAGCCTGGCCAGGTACGCTACCTTCTCGATAAAGCCCTTTTTGGATTCGGATCGGGCAAATTTGAACCTTATACGTGGTTAAATGCGTCTGTGTGTGTGACGTACGCTTTTTTCTTCTAGGTTGGTGAAATGCGACGGCGCCGTCCCTTGTTTTCTCGAAAAGAACAACTTCTCGTTCCGAATTGCAGGAAAATCGATCAACTATAACGTGATTTGTTTAGGATCGCTTTATACGTTAATTTACCGCTTAATCAGGCTTCTTTCGTGGATTTTTCTTTGATTGAATTTTCTCTGCTGCCAAACACACCACACACCGAATTGCGAAGAGAAAGATAATGGGAAGAAATTTATCGATAGCATACTCGTCCGATAGGCGATGAACACAAGACACTGTTTTAAGTGGGCCGAACTCGAGAAATGCACAACTACAATATATTTTTTATGTCCAATTTCAGGCACATTAGTTATTGTTGTTGTAAAAGGCTATCCACTTCTTCCTAATCCTCAAATGCAATAAACAAAGTGCCAACGATAAATTCGAACGCCTTCCAATACTATTACTTCCACTACTCCCCACAGCTGCAATCGCTGCGTCAGTAGTCTATAACCCACACCAATACGAACACACCGACATCCTGCACATTTGCGGAAGTTCTTAAATACAGCAATGGTATTACTTCATTTTCATACAACCTCTGATTTCGACTGAAAACAAATACGCACCAACTACTTGAATCAAATGCACTCGTATTGGAGCGGAAATTTTAAAAACTTCAGCTTGGAAATGTCTAAAATCACAGAGCAAAATAAAACTCGACCGAGAATACACTTGCCGTTGAAAAACTGCAAACTCACCAACCAAAACGTTGCCGATAGAGATGAGCGCAGCGCAGTGCTCGTCGGGCCATGTGCTAGAGAGGAATGGCAATACAGTACTGTGTCGTGGTGAAAACACGGGGAAATGCTGCCACGTCTCCTCTCCACCACCGCCGGCAGAGTTCCCATCGCTTTGAAATAATCGAAAAGTATTCCTACACCAAATCGAAATCGATAACGTTTACTAACCAGGTGATTTTAACAGGCTTAAAAGACATTCAGATCCACTGTACTTATGTTTTATCCGAAATCTCCGTTTTTGGGTAGTCCCCTGCTGGAGGGCGAGATCCTGAAAGTGAATGTAGGTAAGGCACTCGCAATGTGCGCACATCAATTAACTTGTTAGCCAACACTGGCATTCAAATATGTTAAACTGTTGATTCCCTTATATGTCAAGTCGGCTGCACTTGCTCCACTGCTGGAATGGCTGTGCCTGACACCAAAAGTCACCACGTACCGGGTCAACACTCACCGCATTTCCGTTGAAGCCTTCCGTGAGAAGTTGGAACATAAACTTGAGGCTCGCTACGGCCCGAAGTCTCCAAAGATTTATGGGTTGCCGAACCTGCCCGAGATGCTGTGCATTGAACCGCTAGTCACACAGTTTCCAGAGGTCTCTGCCGATCCCTCACTCAAGGAGATCATAGTAGACACCAGTTGCGGAGCCGCCCTGCTGCGAGGTGCTCACATATACGCCCCCGGCGTCCTCGCCATGGAATCCAACACTCAGCTCCAGGAATCGGTCAGCGTTTACGCCGATCTGAGTGGAAAATGCAAGCGCGGTTCGGTAACCCGCTATGAAAGTTCAGAGAAGATCTTCCTGGGCACGGGCAAGGTATTGATGCAGCGATACCAGTTGTTCAACGACTCCCACGAACCAGCTACTGGAGTTGCCGTGGAAATGCAGTCCAACGTCAGCGGAGTGCCCTCGCTGGGGGACCTGAGCAGCAAAGACGCATTGCTTCAGAACCTACCCTCCATTGTGTGCGTGCGCGTCCTCGATCCGCAGCCCGGCGAACGCGTCCTGGACATGTGCGCTGCCCCCGGAAACAAGACGAGCCACATAGCCGAGCTAATGGGCGACCAAGGGTCCGTGGTGGCTCTGGACAACTCCAAAAGTCGCGTGCGCAGCATGCTACCCAAACTGGAGCACTACAAGAGCATTACGACTCATGTGTTTGATTCCACTAAGGCAGTGGCCGCTGCTCACAATGAAACAGTCACTGGCCCTCCCTTTCCCAGCGCCAGCTTCGATCGCATTCTGCTGGACGCCCCCTGCAGTGGCTTGGGCAACCGACCACTGCTGTCTTGCAGCGTAAAGCAGGTCAAAGTTCTGCAATCCTATCCCAACATCCAGCGACGGCTTTTTGGGCAGGCAGTGCAGCTCCTGCGCCCCGGAGGCATCCTCGTATACAGCACGTGCACCGTCACCGAGGCGGAGTGCGAGTGCATAGTGGCCTGGGCGCTGAGAAAGTTTCCCGATTTACACCTGTTGGATGCCACGCCCCGCTGGGGCGGTCCAGGATTCACGCTTCCCGATTTGGATGCAACCAAGTCGAGGCTGTTGCAGCGCTTTGGACCTAGCGGTGCTAGTGCAGACACGGTGGGATTCTTCATTGCCAAGTTTCAGAAAGATTGATGAATTCATAAAATTTCACTGAAATGTTTTGTTTATTGTGCTCGTTATTTCGTAATTTTTCTTTGTTGTTGCTCTTTATTTAAGCTAATTAGCGGAAATACGGATTGAGCTTCGGTTGCTGAAGTAATAAAACGAAAATGACAAATTCTACGTTTACATTAGCATTCAAAGAGTCCCAGATTTTATACGTTCGTAATGTATTAACGAGCTGATCTGTTTTAGTTTTCTAGGTTAAAATTACTTAAATAATTTACAATTGGTATCTATCGTAAGTTTACTTACATCTAAGCCTGTTTTTGTATTTTAATTCAGAATTTGCAGATTTTCGGATACAAATTCTACGACATAGAGTTACTAAAGTCTTGTCTTTAATTTCTAAGAGTTGTAAATTAAAAGGCAGTCCATTGTTTTTCGCAATCCTTGATGGGGGTGTATATATGGTAAACAAAATGATCGAAAACAACCAAAACTATTGATTGCGCAATATATGGACATACCTCAAGGTTGTTTGTATAGGCGGAGATAAAGCCTTCCCGCGATAAAATAATGTTATAGTTTATGTATTCGCGTAATTTATTTTGTCGTCCTTTGCTGCCTTTCCTGACGCAATATTAAGTTTGGGCAAAGGAACAGCTTGTAATCTACAATTCCCGGCATGCTTTCAAAATATAATAGTCTTAAAACCACTGGCAGTCGCGGCCCATGTGGTGTACAGTGTGGGAATGGCTAGGGCTTAACGGAACTGAAGGTGGGAGAAACCTAGCAACGACAGGTCTTTTCAATATTATCGCTTATGATCTACGTCTAAATCTATGTTTGAAGACTATAAACATGATTTTACGTCGGGATGTTAAGCGTCTTGAACTGTTCTTCGTGCATCTCAGTCATCATGAAGGTGCCATCCTGTAGCAATAAAACGACACGACGGGTACCTCCTAAACAAATAAACAAAAAAATACGATATTTATAGACTCGATTTTAAAACGTATATCATCACAACTTACCCGGTGAAGGCAAATCTGCCTGCACCACCTCGGCCGGGATCTGGGCTTCCGTGCCATCGCTATCGGAAGTCGTGATATGGATCTGGGCCGTGGGCGGTGTTCCGGTGCCTGCGACCGTTGCTTCTGCTTGTTGAAGCACCTGATGCTGCGCCAGTTCTTCCTCTGTCATAGACACCAGAATCTGCTCGCCATCCGCTGAAGCTGCTGCGACTCCATGTGCCTCAACCTGCTCTCCTGCTTGAACGGCCTCTGCCACTGCGTGGTCAAGAGAGAGAACATCCTGGTCTTCTCCCTCGGCGGCAGCCACGTAAGCGAACTGCTGCTCTCCATCCGGACCCTGGGTAACAAGTATGGTTTGACCCTCCGCATTTTTTCCCGCCACCTGGTAGACAGTGCCGTCCTCGCCCCGAACCAACAAAGCAGAGCCGTCCTCGTTGGTAAGAACTTGTTGATCGCTGCCCAAAAGCGCCTGTGCCGCGGCCTCCAACTGCTCGCGCTGTTGTTCCTGCTGCTGCTCCTGCTCCATTTGCAACTGGGTTTCCTCCTGGCCGATAAGCTTGCCGGTGATCGGACACAACTGAGCCTGGTGCTGCTGCACTTCCTCCTCTAACTCCATTTGCAGGGGGGTTGGCTGGAGCGTCGGTTTTGGAGCTATCCTTTGCCGGCCAGGAGTCATTTTCTGCATCTGGGATGACTGTTGTTGAGCCTGCACGTGTCGCTGCTGCCGGGCTTGAGTAGCGCGCTGGGCCAAAATCTCTTCCCGGGTGACCACTTTGCGCGTAACTTTCAAATCCCCCGATTTCGAAAGTTGCAAAATCTTCTGCTCTGGCGTCACTACCTTACCGCCCTGCGAAGACGGCGCAAGTTGGCGTTGCTGCGGCGTTCCGACACCAGCGCGGGCTAGGACTCGACCGCCCGGGTGAGCCCGGCCGGGCGTCTGCTGCTGGTTCTGCCGCGCCAGTGGTGTGCCGCCCACCACAGGTCGACGCTGAATTGCTGTTGTTGTGGGGCCCTGACCGGGGGTGCGCAGCACCTGTTGTCGTTGACCCACGGTGATGGGGGAGTTAGCGCCGGAGTGTGCAGGTCGGGCCACGGGCAGGCGCTTGGCTACGCCTGCGCCAATGGGCGCGGAACTGACCTTCTGTTGTGGCGCGGCGGCTGGCGAAACGGGAGAAGGTGCTTCAGAACTTTCAACCCGAAAGACACCTCTCGTGCTGCTGGACATCTCAGAGCGCGCGAGATACCGCACGGGACACTCTGGTTTCTCCTTTTTCTGAAACGGAGTATGAAGATAGCAAGTAAATTAACGCTGCACAGAAATGTAATTTTCACTATTTACCAGGTGCAAAGTGTTCGGCATTTCGGGTTTGCGAAACATCCCCGAGCTGGTGCTGTCCTCCGTGTAGATAATCTCACCCATCTTCTGCTCCGTTACGGACACGGTCGAGTTGCCATTGATTTTAGTCTGCTGCTTTTCCGTGGGCTGAACCCGTGGCTTATTCAACTGCACGGAGCTTCCTCCGTTTTTTAGACGCTTTACGGTGTGCGACGGCAGGTCCTCTTCGAGGTCCTCAAGGTCCATAGAGTCGTTCAGCCCGGTCCCCTCGAGACTGGAGTCTGTGTGGTTAAGCTTGCGCTTGACCGGACCCGACGATGGTGGCCATTCTTGTTCCGTAGCAGATTCATCCTCGTTAGCCGAGGAGGGCGAGGAAGAACCATCCCCGCCGCCAGTCTCATTGACCCACTGCTTAAACGAGTCCATGGCCTTGGTTTTGGAAGTGCGTGAGGGTCGAGAAGATGGCGATACTTGTGAAGGCGCCGGGACCGGACTAAGTGGGGCGACTGTATCCGTCTTCGAGGACGACCCGGTCGGCTGCATGCGTTTTAGTGCGTCCAGGCCCTTCTCTCTTGTGAGCTTCTGTCGCGCCAATTGTTTCTCAAACATCTGCAGGAAGTAGGGAACTCGCTCGAGATTGGCCATCACCTCCCAGGTGTTTTCATGGTGCGAGCGGTCTACCCACTTTACCAAATATTCGTGGGTTTTTCTGCGCGGGTTGAACCGCTTGGCCACTATTTTTTCCACTGGTTCTTCGGTACGCTGCTCTGTTTTGGCATCGATGCGAATGGCTATGCGGTTGTTGGGCTTGACTGTTCCGGCGGCGGCTACTGAGGGAAGCGTTGGCGTGCCCGGCTTGGACTTGGGTCTTTCGTTTTCCGTGTCTTTCAGCTGATTGGCCAAGGTGGGAAGTTTACCGGCCGGGGATTCTGGCAATATAAGTGCAAAGTTTAATACTAATTTTAAATTTTTTCTGGTTTTTTTTTTAATTACTTCTGGTGGGGGAGACGCTCGTATTGTTGTTGCTGTTGGACGTATTGTTATTGTTCGGATTCACAACCGTCTTGGTAATGCGCACCGGCATGTCCTGAAGCTGTCCATGGGCAATCTTGCCGAAGGACTGTATGGTCTTTCCAGCCACGATCCAAGGCTCCCGGACGCTGTCTTCTAGCTTCACCCAGTGCTGGTACAGGGCCCATGAGCTCCCCGAGTTGGTGTCCTTGCGCGTGTGCAGCTGCGTAGCCTTCCACAGAGTGAACGCCCAGATGGTGGGTTTAGTGTCAAGCGACTCCTTCAGGTTCGCGTTCTCTTTCTCACAGGCATCCTCTTTGTGACCCTGAAACTCTTCCACGAAGTGGTAGGCCCTCAGGCATCGTCCGCACACGAGAACGTCCATGTTTGCCAATTCCTCCTGGGCAGCTGCAGGGCACAGATAAAGTTTTACATTTGCAAAGTTTGCCAATCTTCCTCGGCCACTCACCTCTGATAATGTTTGCGTGTTTGCCAATTTCCGTGGGTGCGATCTCCTGTGCCAACATTATTCACGACCCCAGCGCCCAAGCCTCTGTGAAATACATTTAAAATACTTTACTTGTAATGCAAGTATTGTTCAAATTTTTTATTATTGCTTGGCTTTCAATCCGCCCAACAGGCAAAGAAAAAGTACAGTGCCGTGGTGTGTTTGCGTAAACTTGGACCGGGTGGCAACGCAACTTGTCCCCGTCTGCGGTGTGTGCCCGGTATGGTGGGTTTAACCAATGGGCAAAATGAAGCGGCGCTTTGAGCAACAAAAAATAACACTGTATAACATTGTTAAACCAGTTAAGCGCCAAAAAAAATATACAAAGTAATTAGATGAAGCATTTAATAAATCACAAATTTTGTACACGTTTATTATTTTGCAAATTTTTAAGATATTTAGTTAAAAACTTTTTGACAAAAACTGATTAAATACAAAAGAAAACTAACAAGGCGGATGGATCCTACCCTTTAGCATATGATAATCATAATGATAAATTATACTTCAAATAACCTATACAATTTCATGTTGCCCGCTAAAATCTTTCATACAAGGAACACGACTTTCCCACAATGTCATTACAACGGTTTGGCTGCTTCAATTCAGTACACACCTTCATAAACAATTTCGTTTGCAGAATTAAACTAAATACAGTTTTTTAACGGTAATGGAACTTTTAATTTAACTGATTCCCGATTTTCAACACGCGCAGCACCGCTGCTGTTCACAATTGTACGCGCGAACTCTGAATGCCAAATGCAGAATTGGTTCGGCTGAACGAAAAATGTCCAGTGATGATTTTATTTCGGATAGACGGACTTTTGTATGCGCTTCTGTTTTGTAAGTGCACTTTGCGAAATTTAACTAAGAATGCAATGGTGCAAAAAAATGTTATGTTAATTTTACTTGTGCACTTTTTAAATTTTATTTTTGATGTCAAATATATTTTATTTAAATTTGTGCTTTCCTGCACGTCCTATGCTCTAAATGCCCAGACATCGAGTGTAGCGCTCTTTTCCGTTCGCACGCGAAGCGGTGCACTTGGTAAGCCAATCACGTACTGTGGTGAAATTTTTCAACGATGTGGTACCTTTGTGCGCTGTGTAATAATACAAATGTTACAATTTTAAATTCTTATTTATAAATTATTAATTTTAAATTCTTATTATTAGTTGCAGTTGTAAAAATTATTTTTTTGGTGGGCAATGTTCAGTCCCCGCTCAGTGTGGCAACCCAGCGCATTGTATTTATTCTTGGTGCGGTGTGTACACACTGTTTAATTTGCCGGCACATTTCGTTGCGTTTGTTTTATTTGTTTAATTTGTCTGCTAGTTGTGGCACAGGACTGCAAGCATGGCCGACGACGACCAAGAGGACCAGAAGGAATACCGCTGGGAAACGGGCTACGAAAAGACATGGTGAGGAGTGCAAGAGATATCAGCCCCCATTTTCTGTCACTTTCGGTCTCTTCCAGGGAAGCAATAAAGGATGACGACGACGGCTTGCTGGATGGGGCCATCGCGGAGATCATCCAGAAGGCCAAGCGCCAGCGGCAGGCGCAAAAGACCAAGCAGAACCGCCTGGGAATGATGCGCCACCTGTTTCTCGTGCTGGACTGCTCCGAATCCATGAGCGTTCCGGATCTGAAGCCCACGAGACTGCGCTGCACCGTCAAGTTGCTGGAGCTGTTCATTGAGGAGTTCTTCGACCAGAACCCTATCAGCCAGTTGGGCATCATAGCGCTAAAGGCGAAGCGGGCTGAGAAGGTGACCGAGCTCACCGGTACCTCGCGCGTCCACCTCAAGGCGCTAGAAAGGTGGGTTCTGGTTAATTGCATGATTCCCGACATCGATCACATTCTTTTTTTTTAAGCCTGGCCAACGTGTCTCTGACCAGCGAGCCCTCGCTGCAGAACGGCCTGGATCTAGCCCTGAAAACACTGAAGGTGGTGCCCACGCACGCCTCTCGCGAGATCGTCATAATAATGGGCTCGCTCACCACCTGCGATCCTGTCGACATTAACATCACCATAGACGAGCTGAAAAAGGAAGGCATAAGGTGTTCGGTCATTTCCCTGTCGGCGGAAATTCACGTGGCTCGCTACCTTACTCAGCAGACTATGGGCACCTTCGGGGCTGTTCTGGATGACGCCCATTTCCGGGACCAGCTGATGTCCCAGGTGGATCCGCCGCCAGCCGCCAAGACGCAGCACAACTCCCTCATTCGCATGGGCTTCCCGCACACCAAGAGCGAAGTGGAGGGCAAGGACGCGCCGCTTTCCATGTGCATGTGTCACATAGAGAACCTTGAGGAGCCCAGTGAACTGTGCACCACTGGTCACCACTGTCCACAGTGCAACAGCAAGTACTGCGAGCTGCCCGTGGAGTGCCAGTCCTGCGGCCTGACTCTGGTATCGGCGCCGCACCTTGCCCGATCATACCACCACCTGTTTCCGGTTCCCAACTTCGAGGAACTGCCATTCGATGCGATGCCGGCTTCCTCCACCGACCTCGGCGGCGGTGTCAAGGAGTGCTACGCCTGCGCTAAAGCCCTTGGGCAGGTCGCCGACAAGGTTGTCTTCAGGTGCGGGTTCTGCAAGCAGTTCTTCTGCGTCGACTGCGACATCTTCATCCACGAGACCTTACACGCCTGTGTCGGATGCAACACCATTCCGGGCGTGGATGGCCTGGTCTACCAGCAGAGTGCCAAGTCCGACCAGGAGGATGCACACCCGGGAACCTCCAAGCAACGCGGCCAGTTTGGCATGTAACTGACTTTCCGTAGATAGATTTTACAAACTCTAACTACGCACTCAGGGCAAAAACCAATACAGTTCAATTCGTACCGGTGTTCGTGAGTTGTATCAATTAAGATCTGGTGTTATGCTTAATAATTGTGAAGGTGAGCGTGGCATTATTATGGCCGTTGTGTGGCCGCATTCAACCCCTCTCATTTTAATAGCAAATTGCTTGTTCGCTGGTTCTCCGTGCCTTTCCATGCCAACTTGGCGGACTTCTGTCTACAGCCCGCTTGAGTTCATTGTCAGCGTTTGCCGCATTCGGTTGGGTTTTGTTTCGATTCGATCCCAAAGCTTTCGGCATCCACAGGTGTTCTTGCTGCCACGACTGGCTGGAATAGAGTTAACTCCGCGTTGGTGTGTGAATTTTACAGAGCAAGCCCCGAGAGATCACTTCGGTATTGTGGAGTCGAGGTACTGTTCTATGACACCCATAAAGAATTTTAAAGATCAATGAGGCTGCTTTAAACTAGTATTTAACTAGTTTGAGCCCATCTAAACCGCGACAGCTATCGATTTATTTATTTCATGTTAAACATTTAAGTGAGGAGTTATACTTTTTCATGATGGCATTAAATCTAGCTATATTTTTTTACCCCTACAGAGGGTATTATTGTAGTGCAATGCAGTGAAGAAGACGTTTCCGACCGAATAAAGTATATATGTATGTATATATCAGCATCACTGGAGAGATTTAGCCATGTCCGACTGAATGTAACTTCTCTATTTACATTTTTGTTTTAGTCTTTTAAACATAGTAATGGTTTGAAATTTCAGAATTACGCTTTTAATTTTTTTAAAAACAAAAAACGATTTCATATAGCTGCTATAGAAAGTTCAGTATTTTAGTTGTTTATGTTAATTGGTTCTATATCTATCGACTGATATAACTATATCCTAATCGAACCATTAATTTTGGATTTGTTAGCTTCTTAGCCGATTTTTTGCTTGCGTTATATCTATTTTAAATTGATAACCTAGTTACGGATATCGCATAGTCGGTAGACTAAAGATCTGGCTTCTTGTTAAGCTTGATGTCCAGAGAAACACATTATTAATTATTTAAATTCTTTTGTATATAGGGTATAATAATTTCCGTCAAAAAAATGCAACGCGGAAAAGGGCCATGTATAATGTATAGATACATATTCTAGATCAGTATCACCATGAAATTTGATCTAGATATTTCCGTCTGTCCAATTCTGTGCAACTAATCAGGTAAAGCTATTCGGATGAAACTTTTCTAAAAGTCTTTCTATTGAGAAGACAACTACTTCATATAGACAATTACTTCATATAAGCTTCGGAAAACATAGCTACGATGTTTTAAAATTTTTGCAAATATACTTTATAATCTATTATTATAAATATACATCTCTATTGATGGATTTCTATTTTACAATTTTAATTTTATACAAATAGGGCAACGATACCATATAGCTACCGTAGGAAAGATTGAAAAATTCATTGCAAAAATAGTTTTTAGGCGCAGGTGCAGACTGCAGAGAATTTTTGTATTAGCTGCAAGGGCCACCCAACGTTGGTCGAAGTTGACTTCTTTTTTTATACCCTTGCAAAAAGTTATTATAATTTTAATCAGAAGTTTGCCACGTAGTGGAGGATACATTTCTGTTTTATTCTTGAACAGCATCACAAGGAGAGTCGATCTAGCCATATCCGTCAGTCCGTTTCCACTTAAACTAGTCTCTCAGTTTTAAAGCATGCCATTTTTTAAAAAATTGTCTTTCTATTGCAGGCAGTATATAAGTCGGAACTAGATGGATCGAACGACTCTATCATATAGCTCCCATTGGAACAAATTTGAAAAAAATTATAACTTTGCTGTTGTTTAATTTTTTTTTAGTTATTCGATATACAGCTTTTTTATATATTTATTATTTAGAATTGCGGCTTTAATTTGATTAAAATCTGAGGATAATCCGAGGATGGAACAATCGCAGTATTACAAAAAAAAAATACAACCAAAATTCAATTTATTTCTTTTTTAATTGTTCTTTTATTCTTTTAGATATAGTAATATTTTAATAATTCAGAATTACGCTTTTAATTTTATCATATAGCTGCCATAGATACGCTGGAATAATTGAAGTGAAAATTAATGTTAAATTTTTGCAATAGCTGCAAGGGTATATTAACTTCGGCTTGCCGAAGCTTGCTTCCTGTTTTGTTTTCAATAGTCTAGTGTATTTGGTCATGTCTGTTACAGTATTTATTTTCTTTTAGAAAAGTATTCTGCCTTGGAAGACGCGATCATACAATTGTTTTTACCTTCTGCAACCGAACTGTATAATATTAGTCCATTGAAGTTTATTTAGAACGCAAATCGCAGTTAAACGACAGTCAGACAGTTTACTCTGTCTCGTTAATTACAGACTAGCCCAGCATCATGCCAGCTTATATTCATTTGTTCGTACTAACGAATGCGTTTGAGCAATATAAAGACATTTCCGCATTGCACCCCACACAAAAAGCGAGAATTTACGATCACATATCGCTTGTGATAATTACACTGGCTTACAAATTTAGTGTGTAAATTACCTATTTTCATGCATGTTTTATTTGTTATCTCTAATCCTGCCTCACAGATTTCGGTCATCGATATCTTATCTTACTAAAAATAAAACTTTCTTCAACTACGTAATGTAGGATTTCTATTTTAGATGCCAGAGCTCGACAAAGTAGTTAAAACTGAAGTTTTTACACCATAAAATAATTCTTAAGGGGGTCTTCTACTTTCGAGGTAACTGATTGGTTATTTAGAAAATTAATAACAAAAGTGTTTAAGGTATATGTTTTGACTTAAAAATGTTGTTTTTAAAATTGAAAAAAAAAATTGTTCAGAACCTTGAAGTGTGGTTTTCATAACACATGTAGCAACTACAGTGGTTGATCTGAAATTAGAAAAATGTTATTCTTAGTTATTCGTAGTTACGTCGACAACGTTTTCCCAAGGCAGTTCAATTTTAGGGGCTTAAAATGGGAAACAAAATTTAAAAATCGGATGTGTGTATGCTGTGAACAATTGGAAGAAAAAATTATAAAAATCTTACTAGTTCTTTCGGAAAAATAAATAACGCTGTATAACTTGATTGAAATTAGTACCTCGACAAAATCCTTTTTGCAGCGTACTTCCAGACACATATAGATTAAAATAATAAAAAACAAGAAAGGAAGCCAACTTCGTCAAGCCGAAGTTCATTTACCCTTGCAGGTATAGCAAAAATTAAATATTCTTGAAAACATTAAAATTATGATTTTCTTGCGGATATGTTTAAAAACATTGAATCTATGATGATTTGCAGCTCAATTATTTTTTTTCCGATTTTAATAAAATTAAAAGTTACTCCTAATTTTTTACTCTAAACTGTCAAATTATTAATTAGTCAAAATGAATTTCTAAAAAAATTACAAAATAAAAAAGTTAATAAAAAAAACTTTTTTTAAAATATTTGTATTGTTCTCATGGGAGCTTTATGTTAGTCGTCCGATTTTAATGAAATTTAAACCGTAATTCTGATATCTATAACCATTACTATATGTCGAAGAACTAAAAAAAATTAAAAAACAGCAAAGTTATATTGTTTTTTTTCGATTTTATATGATTGTATATGTAGAAGAACTAAAAAAAATCAAGAATCAAGAATCAAAAATATATATACTTTATAGGGTCGGAAATGTCTCCTTCACTGCGTTGCAAACTTCTGACTGAAATTCTAATACCCTCTGCAAGGGTATAAAAACAGCAAAGCTATCATTTTTTTGTATTTATTTTTCCGATTGTTCCTATAGGAGCTATATGCTATAGTCGGACAGACGGACAGACGGACAGACGGACAGACTGACAGACGGACAGACGGACATGGCTAGATCGACTCGCCTAGTGATGCTGATCAAGAATATATATACTTTACAGGGCCTGAAATGTCTCCTTCACTGCGTTGCAAACTTCTGACTGAAATTATAATCCCCTTTGCAAGGGTTTAAAAACGATTTTTTGAAACTGCGAGAGTAGAAGACCTTTTTAAATGAGAAAGGGAGCAAACTTCGGCAAGCCCTTGCAGCTATTCCGAATTATATGCGTATATGTTTAAAGACATTAAAAAAAAAATTAAAAAAAAGTAAGGAATAGATAAGTAAAAATTATTTTTAAGGGTATAAAAATACACGAACAAATACCGAAAATATTTGCATCGCATTATTTTGAAGACAGAACATTAATAAAGACATGACGGATTTTTAAGCAAGAGAGTCCTGTGATTTTGGGCTTTTAGCGGATGTAAATCATAAATTCAAGGTTTGCTTCCTGAAATATTTTTTTTTTCCAATTTATATGTGAAAGTGGAATGAACCAGATAACAAATATCACTCTCAATTATATACTTGCGTTTGTCTGTATGGTAATCCGAAGTTAGTAAAGTCCAATTGCGTTGGGCCAAATGAAGGAGTACAAAATTCCATCATTGTTGGGAAATTGCTTGCTTATTTAAAGCTGTCCGGGAATAACTAACCGAAAGTAAGGCGTTATAATAATTTATGTTAAAATAGCTTCCAAAGTGAGTTCTGTAATCTTGCAAGGCTTTTTCGTAAAAAGGAGAATTGAAATGGGATGGGCGGTAGGCAGACTTTGATGCTGAAAAGTTATCTGCAGCTAATCACTTGTTAAGTTATTTCTCATGGCCTGTCCTCCAGGGAAGACACCCTAAATATACTTCCCATTGAAGGCAACCATTAGTTTGCCGCTGGCAGAGTTATTTGCATTAATTTGAAGTATTTGGAATGGCTTGTAAATTGCCATCACTGATTAAAATATGATTTCTGGATGTCGACTTCAGAGACAATAAATTGAAGTGATGAATAATGAGGCAGTGGGAGCTTTGAACGCTAAAACGGAATCAAAAGCACCAAATGTAAACATATAAGACGTGAGACAGGAAAGCCCAATTAGCATTGTGTTTATTTTGGTGGGATGTGCCTCTCGAGCTCACATCGAGCCCATATCGTTATGGTTTAATTTTAAATATTGCTAAACAA